TAGAGTCATAGGGAATCCCAGGAGGAGTGAGAAAGACCATGGCAAGAGGGAGAGACTGTTGCTGCAATCCAGGTAAGAGAAGATTCACTTTAGTATATCAGTGATGATATAAAGAAATGGACAAACTCAAAAACTATTATGGCAAGAGTCAAATGAATTCAGTAAAGATGAAGGAAGACAAAGAGAGGAGAACAAGTACAGAATGGCCTCCAGATGTCTGGTTTAAGCATCTGCAGAGAGGGGGGAGAGGTGCAAATTACAAAAGCAGGCCATAATTATAACTTGGAACTATTGTGTTAAAGTTTTTAGGGTTCGCACGCAGAGGTTCAATAGGTAGCTAAATATGGTTCACAATCCAGAAAAAAGTTTTGGAATGGAGATCAAGATTCAGAGCCATCAGATTAAGTTAGTAACTCAAGTGTTGAAGCAAGTGAGATCTGTCAGGCACAACACAGGAAGTGAGGGAAAAAGGATCTAGGGAAGAGTACTGATTTTAAAAAGTTACTAAGCCATGGACAAGGGAAAAAGAGCTCCCCAAAGACTGAGAGTTGTTCTGTCCAATCTAGTAGATGGGAGACAGATGTAGCATTAAATTAAAACTTTAATTAATTTAAATTAAAATTTAAAGCTGTAATTTAAATTAAAGCTTCACTTTCTCCATTTCTCTGGCCACATTTCAACTGCTCGACAGTCACACACAGTTAGTAGCTACTAGACTGACCCACGAAGGTTAAAACATATTTTCTTCACCTTAAAAAGGCCTCCTGGAAAAAAAAAAAAAAAAAAAAGGCCTAGTGAGTAACATAGCTGTGGAGTGATGCCACCTTTTAGAATGCTCTCTTATATTCCTCCAAGATTTGCACACTTCCTAGAACCCCAAGATTCCCACATGTGGGTCTGACTCATCCAATCAGACTGAAGCAAAAGGAAAAGAAATGATGTCAATTCAAACTTCAAGTTAAATGTTATCCAAGAAAATCTTACAGAACTGGGGGGAGATCGCTGTGAAAGAAGGATCACTCATCTCTCAAGATTCAAAACAATAGATTTGAGGATGGAAGACTACTTATTTTTAAAATGGTCTTTAAACATTGAACTTTTTAGTTTATTTGAACAGTGATATACATCCTTTAAGTGTTTCAAGCTAATGTTTCTCTCCAATAATAACCCCACTGAACAACCCAGTATTTAATAGTTAAACTTGCCTATCTATCAAAAAAACAAAAAAAGGATCTTGTTATGCCCTAACATTCAAGTTTGGAATCTGTCAGACATAGAATACCCTTGCATAGGAACAGGAACTAGACATACCATGATGCTAGATTATGAGGTTGTGTTAGGAAAGCATGAAAGAAGAATGCAAAGCGAAAGACTGAGGGTTCTCTGGAACTGGTGGCAAAGTCCAAATACACTTTTTGTAAAATGGCAACAGAGGAATTCCAGGAGATCAGGAAATAGATATAATGAATGTTACAACCCAGGCAATTTTCATGGTGCTCATATAACAAGAACTGAGCTATGCACACCGTATTATTTCCACTGTGAGAAAACAGGTGTCGAGATGTACTCAGCAGATTGAAAAGCAAACAGACCTTGGTCTGCTGCTTCTGGTATAGAGACATCAACAGCCCCTACTGAGAGCCCTTCTTTCTCAAACCACTGGACTGCATAAATCTTATAACTCAGGAGGCAAATTGTATCCTGGAACAAATGAAGACCAGCACAAGAATTTGCAATTTTACTTCCCAAGGCATTCAGCTAACAAGCTTGCCCTGCTCTTCAAATAGCTGGATTATTGAAAATGAGGGGGCTGTGAAGGAAGGAAGAATTGGACTAGCTCTTATTTTTTAACAAAGCAAACACTAGGTATGTTAGGAAAATATAACACAGGGGCTGTTTTGCAAGAGGAAAAAAATGACAAATTAATACCCTTAAGTCACTGGAAAAGTTGCCAATGACTCCCAAATACTACATTTTAGATTCAGACACTTTAATATACTTGATGACTAAGCTTGGGAAGTCAGGAAATTCCAAAGAAGTCTACGGCAGAACACACTTGGACACATGACACATGGTACATATTTTATGGCCCATGTTTAATAAACAACTGAGCGATGGCAAATGAAGTTGCACATACCCGACATGGCAAAATAAATTCTACAGTAGAAAAGAATTTCGAGATGTCTTGGACACTACCGTGACACTGAACATTCTACTGTTCTAATTTTAGAAATTTGTTTTCCATTCAAATGTTATTTAGAACAAAAGATGATGCATATAAAATACTATGTGCACTGCTATCCTATAAATCTGAGGGATGGTCCTCTATCGTCTGGCAACTCTCTGAAAAAAGCTCAAGCAACAAAGGCCCCCTTTCTGAAAGCCCATATTTTAATTTTCTATCTTTGGAACTAAAAATACTTACATAATTATCTTCAAATATGGCTTGACTTTTCTTCCTTGATGGAAACAGCATTCCTGCCAACTTTAAAATTTATAGCTACAACCATATTTTTTTAATTTTTAAAAGCAAATACCACAACCCATCAAAGAGATTTTGAAATAAGCATTTCTTCATTTTCATAATTATCACGTGTCACACTTAGATGTACTTCAACTAGGCACACAAATGGAGAGAACATTTACCCCAAGTCTTAGAGCCAAACATCATTTTTTATATTAATTTTCAAATATCATATTTGATCATGAATACTAGAAATGGAGAAGGGAACATAAAGGGAGGTTGGACTTGATCAGCAAACTGGATCAATAGTACAGGTAATCAAAAATAAAAATATTATTTTTGGAGATGATATTGGCAACTAAAAAATAATAGTAATTATGCTATTGTATTTTAGTCATTATAACTTTTAATACAATGTAAAATGGTGCATTTAATAGCCAAATGTGTGTGCATACGAACGTGTGTGGGGGGTGTGTGTGTGTGCGTGTGTGTGTGTGTAACAGACTTTTATCCTTATAGACTACACCACAGTTTTCTAAAGTATGTGCACACAGCTTCATCAATTTGATCTCCCAACAATCTTGAAAGATGTGCAATACAGGGATTATTTAGTATTTCATTTGATAGATCAGTAAATTAACATATAGGAAGGCTAAAGGCCTTGCTAAAATACTGTAGATGCACTTTTCAGTTATTGTGTCAAGTTTACATCTACATCAGCTACTCTTTTATAATTGGTATTTGTAATCTATAAAAATAGACATGAAAGGCACCACTCTCATTATTTTTCAAAGGTTTGTCTTTTTTTTTTTTTTTTTTTTTTTTTTTGGTATTTAGGGAAATGTCTACAGGGCGTTCAGGGTCTTACTACTAGATCAGACTCATAGTGCTCCTCCTGTTTACAGCCTCCCAAGTGCTGGGATTACAGGCGCGGGCCACCACGCCCAGTCTCAATTGCCTTCCCAGCGCACCCAGGGGGCGGGGCCCGCAGGGCCGGCCCAGGGTTCAAAGCCCCAGCCCCTGCGCCTGCTTTCAGGAACTTTAATCCACTGACCTATATGACCGGCCCAGGTTTGTCTTTTAAATTCCTCAAAGAAGCAAGTGAAGTAGATAGCCAATGTTCCAGTTTTAATGGTTACCCATATTTCCTTATACTTTTTAATTATTAAGCAAGCTGAAAGGCAACAACATCTTCGCACCCCACCCCACTCCATGAAAACAGAAGTAGAATTTAGCATAGGCCTTCTGGTTTTCACCGACTTTGAAAAGGGCTGGAAGGAATTCTCAGATCTCCCTTCTAGACCTAGGAACAAGGGCACATATCAGAGTCAATGTGATTTTGCAGAAGCAAATGAACGTGTAAACAGTGTGAGTTGTGGGGGCAAAGAAGCAGGGCATAGGTCTGTGTGAAACGTTGGTGGCCAGCACCAGCCTCCCTGTGAGATGGAGTAGGCAGATGGGAATGTATGTATCGCTGTCTTCTAACAAGTATATCCACATTGCATGGACAGAAAGTGATGAAGGAAAACTAATTTACCGCGCAGCACTAATAACCACTCAGTACAATACAGATTTACATTGTTAGCTAGGCATTGAAATGTAGCCTAGATTAGACTGAGATAGTGTACTCTGGGTAACTGGGAATTTTCTCCCTAAGCATAAATTTCCCAAACCACTATTTAATCCTTATCTATTTCTTTTAGGTCAGGCTATATTAAAGTAAATTAGTTTGGCATTTTGTTGAGTTTTATTTTTTGTCTCTGCTCTATAGAAGTACAGTTAAAGTAGAAGTACATAGGCTCTTTCATTTTACGTCTTACATAAAATAGATTTTATAGAGTTGAATTTGGAACCACTTATATGACCTAAGTATTATTAGAGCTAGAATAATATTCTTTAAATTAAACAAAAGTTAATTCCAAGAATATAAGGAAATTCATAGTGTTGAAAATACCTCCTTAGGAATAATATATCCTGAATAACCATAATGTCCATATGACAGTATCAGGAAAGAATAGCAATACAATGAATAAAGATGTCTAAACTATATATGTGACTTTTAAAAAGAGAATATTCAATCCAACAGATTAGACCTAAATTCACAAAAATCATTTTTAAAGGCCTCTGTGTTCTGGTTTTTAAAAAGTCCTAAGCATTCATAACCTCTGACTTATACTTAATATTTCAAATTAATGTAAGAAATTGCTTCAAATTTTAAATATACATCTGTTGCTGCTTATCTATGAGAGTTCAAGCACAAACTGCAAATCATATTCCAGAAATAATGAGTATCTAAAACATAAGACTTAAAATGCTTTATAATAGAACTAACTATAGTATTTTATTGAGAGATTAATAAGTAATCTGCCCCTTGGCTTTGGAATCTGGACCTGCCTAGTAGGGAGACTCAGAGTTCATACTGACAGAGAATACCTACAAAAGGTGTGGAATTGTAGGAATTACAGTAGAACTTGGGACAAACCACTCTGTACAAACCAGCGGGCACTCACAAAGGACACTCAATTGGTTCACATACTTTGCAAAGCCAATGAAGTCTTCGTGGTTGGTGTTGATGTAGGATACTTGAATGTCAATCAGCAGCAGGACCTATAAGGCAAAGAGTCGCATCAGTGACACCTACTGGGAAAATTTTCAAATGCTAAATTCAATAATTGCCTACAAATTATTTATTGACTTTTGTCTTTTGAGACAGGGCTTTGTTGTTCAGGCTGGTCTGAAATTCACTATGTAGACTAGGATAGCCTCACAACTGAGGAGTCCCCTTGCCTCCTGAGTGCTGGCATTACAGGCATGTGCCACCATGCCTGGCCCCTGCACTTAATTTTTAAAGTGATTTCTTAATAAGAATGAAAAGTTGCAGTAATTTTTCTTCATCAGACTCAACCTCTATACTCTAAATTCATAAGTTAAAAATTAAATAAAAAGTAAGTCTGAGAATTAAATTATGTATTATTTACTATCAAAATTTTTCTTTTCCTCTAAAGCATAGCATAACATTCAAAAGAAGGGCAAGGATGTATAAGCAATATTATCTCTTGAATTTTTCTCCCTTTCTATCTCTAGAGTTCCCTCTTGGCAATCAGAAGTATATCATTAAATAACTAAGAAAGATAATACACAAATAAAAATAAAGCCTCCCTTGGGTTTCATTATCAAATCAAAACATCAGCCAGCACTTTGCAAAAAATGTCCTTCATCAGAGGGATGGTCCCTGATCCACCTCTATTAGCACTCTCCCAATTCTATCATTGAGCCCTACCGGTTTTCCTTTGTGGTGCTACCAGTAGATTGAGCACGTTTCTGCAGAGTCAGTACTCTGGCTGCCATGGCCCCCGTGCCTCAACCAGGGTTTGGGATGTCATGTGTGTGCAACACAGATTTGTGAAGGAATGGATCGAACACATGCCAGGGCACCAGAAAATGTTCTAATCCTAAGGTACTCGTAACCTCTTAAATGAGAGATTTGGAAGGCATCTCTGAAGAAAAAATATTCTCTAAAGGGGAAATAAGAAGGCCAAGAAAGAGCAAGAGGAGAATACAGCCACTAGGAACTCTAAGAAGAGCATCTTATTCTGGAGACCTTCGAAAGTGGGTTCCACTTTTTACATTCCCTCAACAGCAAAGTATCTTTCCACAATGCCAAGACTTGTTGGAAGCGAAAAACAACGGCATCCCTGCCTTAGTCTCTCCAGTGCTCCGAGGTTTATCTGGTCAGATGTATTTCTGATGCACACACCGAGTATTTTCAGGCTGCCTGGCTTCTCTGATGGTAACACACAAGCACATCACAGTCCTCCTGGCAATTCACAGGTGAATTTTACAGCATGCTCCCCAGGGCATATTTCCTTGAGAAAGCCTCCCCTGATTTTCACCCCTTATCCTCACAAGATAAGGCTGGACCATGCTATGATACTCAGATAGTCTGGGTCCATATTTAGATTGTGCACAAATGTATGACAAGGTATGATCAAAAATATACAGTGAATATTTAATTTTTTAAAATTTATTAGTGAAAGATACATTGCCATTAACCCCCCCAAAAAAACTATTCCCCCTTACTTTGAACACATTTGTTCCATCATTCTTGCCACTTTCTGAAGCAGTTCTACAAGTGCTGTGTGCTGAGTGTCATTATGAGGTACAACCAAAAAAAAAAAACAAACAGTAAGTACTACAGATGCTGCTGTCGAGACCCATCCAGTGGAACGGCAGGCTGCTAAGAACATTGGTCTGTGTCCTCATCTGCCTTGTTCACTGGATCAGGGACCACACAACTTCTTACAACTGAGGTAACCATGCAAGGTCAACGTTTTGGATTAACTCAGAACACTGAGGCAGAAATGACTGCAAAACAAAAGACAGTTACAAAAGAGAACTTGAAGAACTGCTTCAGAATGTGGCAAGAATAATGGGGTAAGAGTGTTCAAAGCAAGGGGGTATTTTAAAGGTCATTAATTTCTTAAAATTTAAACATTTACTGTATGCTTTGATCATACCTCATATAGCCTATACTTTCTGATTTTAAGGTTTACTGCATTTTACTATTTCCACAATTCTTTGTTTGCTGTTTTTCTTTCCCCACAAGACTGTAACTCCTATAGAAATAGGGACTACATCTATCTTGTTCCCCAGTTTATCCCCAAAATCTAGTATGATCCATGTAGCTTATACTTAATAAATATTTGTGGTTTTAGTTTTGTACCTATCTCCTAAGCTTGAAGAACAGTTTGTCTCACAGGGAGCAGTTTATTCATGTGGCCACTTACCATTGCTTTTTAGTCAATACCTAGTGTTATGGATTCTCACAGGTTTGGTTTTGTTTTCCCAGAACCAGGGATTGAACTCATGCCCTTGCCAGGGAAGCACTTATTCCACTGAGCCATCTTCCTGACCTTGTTATGGACTCTGAGGCTTTGCTTTTGTGATTCTTCTCAATGTCCAAGCAGTCATGTGACCAAATATTACTAACATGTACAAAACCCCTAGAAGAATAGCTGGTGTGTATGGATGTTCCAAAAATCTTTGTTTAAAAAAAAAATGCTCACAAGACAGATTTATAGTTTCGCAAATGTTTCATTTTGAGTATTTTCCCTCATAAAGCTTCCTGAGCAGAGGTAGTCGATTGCTCTCTTATTTAAAGAAATAAAACTAAGAATACCACAAAATGGCTCAGGTGCAAAGGCCTGGGGAAATGGGTCACCCTGACCAGATACTGTACTTTAAGAGTACCACATGGCCCAAGGCAACACCTAGTTCAGAATTTAAATGGCAGATCCTATTACCAAAATGCATGTTTCTCCCCTAGCACACAGTTCTGTATTAGAGGTGAGCACGGCCAGCCTCAAGAAGCAGTTGCTAACTGTGAGAGCAAGCCATCTGAGGTGTCCTTTAAGAGGGAGACGCCTGACAAACCCCCTAGAGTGGTACACAGAGCGTTAGGACCTGACCCTAGTGCAGGAATGTGCCTAGATCCTGAGATAAAATATATTCATTCTGCCTTGGATGAAGTCACTTTTCCTAAGAATTTCATATCCTCCCATCTCTGACTCAAACTCCAGGAATCCACCTGGTCTTGTGGCCAGCCAGTACACGTTCCTGTCAGTAAGACCCCAACAAATTTCCCTCTGCACGATCCTAGACCTGCCTGCCTCTTGCTTCAGTCTCATGGCCCACTGGAGCTGGTTTTCGTATACTAACTCTGGCTGTTCCATAACAAATGCTAAATTTGAATCTGTCATTTTAGTGAAACAAAAATTGTGAGACATGAAACAAGTCAACAACTGTAGCTATAATCACCAAGCTGTTTAATAAGTGTATTGTTCCCCTTTCAATATTATTTTTCATAATATCCCTAGCAGGTAAGTAGAATATATTATAATTTGAATAACTTAATGATATTAAAGTGACATAGCTTATTTCCTTTAGACCAGGTGTGTAGTTGACTTTTAGGAAGTGAAGCTTTGTTGGTCTGAGGCACTACACGGGGGAGGAGAGAACAGTTTGGAGCTACAGACCTAGCCCCAGGCTTCGTTTCACTGACTCATGAGTTACTACCAACTTGTTTATCTCCACTAAGTCAAAATGCCTATTATTTTTACTTCTGGCTTCATAGCCATCCAAGATTGTGAAAGCTGGAAAACAAGCGAAAACTATAAATAGTGGTTAATTAACTCTCAAAGCACAGCGATAAAAAGTAGTAACAGCAAGTCCCAGGGCCCAGGCAGAGAAATAGTTGTTTCAGGAGCCACTCATCCAAGTTCCCGGCTGCTGGACCTCTGACCCTCTGCCTCTCCACTTTCGCCTCCGGACCTCCCACCGCCACACACACTGTGCTGCATGCATCCCTTCTGTCACCATGGTTTCACTCTCTAATCCACTTTTTAAGTTTCACCTTTGCCTCTTCTCTATTCTTCCCTTCCTCCTCTCTCTCTCTCTTCCAATCCACCTCAGAATCATACAGTCTTGAAATACCAACTTACAGAGGTTTTCAGCAATCATACAAATCAACATCCCAATGCTATACACGAAAAGACAACAGTCCAAAGGTGCGAGTCACACGAGACCATATGATTATTTGGTGGAGACACACAGGACCAGAGCCAAATGCTCTTTCTACCTTGTCTTTCTTTCTTTCTTTCTTTCTTTCTTTCTTTCTTTCTTTCTTTCTTTTTTTAATGTAGTTGGTACAGGGTTTCACCATGCAGCTCGGACTTGTAGTGATCCTCCTGTTTTCAGCCCCCTCAGTGCTGGGATTACAGGGGTGGCCGCCAGGCTGGGTCTCAGTGGCTGGCTCAGCGTGCCTGGGGGCAGGGCCAGTGCAGCATGTGATGCCAGGAAGGGAACCCTAGTCCCTGTGTTTGCCTAAGCAGGTTCGTAGTCCACTGAGCTATCTCACCGGCCCTAAGTCCTTCATCTTTTAAAATGAATCATCTTCACCTAAAAAATCATCTTTCCAGGAAAGAAGCTGCTCAAAAGTAAAGAACAATTGGGAGGAGGATAAGGAGAAAAGAAGAGATGATAGATAGATAGGTAGATAGATAGATAGATAAGTAGATAGATATATAGACAGACATAAAAGCTAAAATAATTGTACTACTAATTTCTATTGATTTATTGAAAGGAACAGGCAATGCTTCATTCTTCAATCAATGTCGCATGCCTATATCTGGTGAGCTGGACAACTACTTTGAAGATAACAAAATGCCATATAACAACGATTATTAATTTCCTATCATCTTGTTTTGAAATTCTGTATCATTCTTAATGTTTTTAAGATTTAGTCTCTTTAAAATAAAAAAAAATAACCTTTCAAAATAACAGAACTAGATTTAGAAGACAACGTCAAGGTCATTCTATTCAAAATAAAAAGAAAAGCAGATCTTAAATTTGTTTTCACTGGTAAGTTTAATGTGTAAATTGATTAACAGGCAAAAGTTATGACAATTCTCCTTTGTAAAAAAGTAAATTCACCCAACATTATGCATAACATTTTAGGAGTCTCTGAAAATCCTGGAGCCCATATGCAAGTTCATTAAAAGTTAAGAATCCCTGTCTTAAACAAACAAACAAACAAACAAACAAATGTGGTGTGTTTCTGAATTAGTGGTTTTAAATTGGGAGGTACCTACACCAGAGAGGTGTACATGATGAGCATGAAGTGTTCAGGGAGAAAAGTATCATGAAACTGCTTTAACTGCTTATAAACTTCATTCTTCTAAAGGCTTTATATTTCTTACATTTCTCACATGCATAAAATAGTAGTATAGTAACACACGTGCATAATAACCATACAAAAGTAGAAATGAATACAACGTCCTACTATTTTTTCCCCAGCTAGGAAGGGCTGGGCTGACTGCTGGGGACTAGCAGATGGCTTCTTAGAGGACTTTCACTTCCCCCAGGACCCTGCCCTCCTCACCTGGTCCTTTGTCTTCCCTTCTCGCTCCCGAATGTGGTTAGCAACAATCCTTTCTGTTTCTTCGCACAGTCTGGGGAAATTCGCCAACTGTAAAAAAAAACAGGTCTGAGTGTTTCCAATACAGTACTCAAAAGGTGGTGACACACAAAAAGGGCAGAGACAGAGTATGCTGTTTTACAGAAGATATTTCATACAATTCTTTAGAAGCAAAAATTCAATGTCAAGATCTCCTGCAGAAGAGTATCAGGGTGATAAAAAAAACACCTCCAACTACTGTCAGTAACTCATCATCCAAAAGGAGATACTTCAAAACCTGCACAGAAATTCCCTAGGAAGAAAGCAGGATTCTACCTACCACTATGCTCTGAAGAGCTGGCACTTAAAATTTCAAGATGAAGACAAGAGGATGAGGAAAATGATAGTGGCTAGCATTTATGGAGTACTTACTGTGCGCAGTTGTGAATCATCTCATTGAATGTTCATAACAGAAGAAAGAAACCTAATATTTTTTTAATTTTTTAAAATCTTTTTATTTATTTGGTACAGGGTACCATTATGCAGCTCAGACTCCTAGTGATTGTCCTATCTCAACCTCCCCAGTGCTGATACTATAGGCTTGCACCATCACGCCCCACCATGCCCAATTTGGGGCCTGCATGACACTCCCAGGATTCCCGGGCCCACAAGGCATGCAATACTAGAGATCAAACTCAGGCCCTTGTGCTTGCCAGGCAGGCGCTTAGACCACCGAGCTATCTCCCCAGCCCCAAGAGACCTAATTACTCATCTCCTTTTATAAAGGAAAAAACTAAAGCACAGAGGAGTTAAGTAACTTACCCAAGACCAAACAGCTCAGAACTGGCAGGCCCAGGGTTTCAACTCAAAGATTAGGATTCTAGCACCCAAAGTTGTCTTACTCATTCCAGGAGCCACAGGGAGATTACTGTGATTTTTTAAAACTCCTCCCCCAATAGATGTGCACATGTACTTATCTTTATGAAACTGTAGAAACAATGCATGTTGATCATTTACCCAATCATGCAGACAATTGTTCCAAAGATTGTAAAAATTAATTGTTAATTATAGTTGTTTTCAATTCAAGGAAACAAATAGGATGCTACGTGAATGATTAAAGAGCCCAATCTATAAGAGGGGCTTAATCAGACAAAGATCTTGGGGAGCAGTTATGGGGAATGTGGAACTTATCAAGCACAGGAACCATGTTAATATCTAGTAAAGTCAAATAGAATAATCAAGTAGATCCATTTAAATAATGTAATATGGTCATTTCAACTCATATTCTTAATAATATCCAATGACATGATATTTGTACTATGATGTTAAGGGAAGACAATTAGGCTATTGAATAAATAATGTAATTGTATACAAGTGTACACACATACACATGTACATACGCACATACATACACAGTTACACAGCACCATATTGCCTTTATAATCTTCCAGGATACAACCCAAGAACTTCACAAATTCTTGGAAGTGCATAATATTATCTAAACTCCTAAGAAATTAGAATGAGGCATCTTTTAGATGTGGCTGCTCTATGGTCACCCAGGGTCACTGTGCCTGCCACATTTACTACTTGCATGACACACAGTGGTGTCTCAGTCAGGACAAGCTGCTGGGCATCACAGAACTATCATGACCACTAGCTCACCTCACCTCCTCCTGCTGCAAATCTACTGGCTAGATATAGATAGGGAGCTGCACAAATGCTACCAAATGTGAATACATTCTGGTAACTTTGAATTTTGCATAATTTTAATCCTCTGTGTTTCCAAAGTAATCTGCAGTAGATGTAGAATATTTTATAACATCATAAACATATAGAAACTTAGCTGCCTTCATCACCTTAAAAGTCACAATACAGTGTGTCTTCATGAGACACTAATTCTTCATTTCAAGGGTGAGAAGAATTTGCTCTTGTCTTAGTTACTCTTTTCTCATTGCTGGGACAAATGTCTGACACTCATAATTGAGAAAAGAAAGGTTTCTTTACTTCACAGTCAGTGGGGGTTTCAGCATATCCTCAGCTGGCTCCAAGGCAGAGTGGCACATGGCAGAGGGCAGCAGTTCATGGCAGCGGCAAAGAGCAAAGAGCAAAGGGAGTGAGTGGCAGCAGCTCAGGCAGCTAGCCAGCCTCTCTCACCTCCTTGCACTGTAATGCAAATTACCTGCCCTGGGGCAGGTGCAGCATCCACACCCACAATAAGGACCATTTTGTATCTATATATACAAAATAGTTAGGATAGATGTACAGCTATGTTCTCTTAATTCAATGAGAAGTAAGATTTGTACTAACAGTGTTTGGACAGGATATCATGTCTGCGTCTTGTACTATGAATAACTACTACGAAGAAAACAATATGCAATGTACTAATTATTGTAACTGTCCTACTATCCTGTTTTGAAACTGTCTCATTACTATTTGTTTCTCAATAAAATTAATAAAAAATAATAATCAATTACAAATTCCAGAAGCCCATAACTGCATGAGGCTTTGAGAAACAACTAGACATAAACCATAACAGCTCCCATCTGAACCCTATGATATATAGGCTCATAGGAACTTCTTTCACCAATTATAGCTATTGCAGGATCCAAACGGAACTTCCACTTCCCGTTATAGAAACACTCACCAGGGACTTCTTTTAACATTGTAGATTATCATCCCCAGAACTCCTTTTGACACTGGAGATTAACTTTTGTGAAGTTTACATAAGGTTTCAGAGATAGGAGGGGCAGATAACTGATACCAGTCCTTCTCAACCAGCACAAACCTGGGTGGTAGGCCTCGCACTAACCACCTACCTGCTCAGGGCTCCCAGAGCAATGGCTCTTCCCCTGTGCCTAGATATCATTCAGAGCTTTCCAGACACCTTGAGCTTCAGGAGTAGTTACACTGTCACAGAATCACACTGCCACAGAGCAGTAACTATGGGAGGAGCAGTGGTCTATACCAACAAGGAGTGGGATGTCTTTAGCAATGCTGAGGATTTCAGCAGAAGGTTATTTTTAAAACTACAAAATAGTAGCAATATAAATATTTATTCAGAAACTACATATTTGACAGCTGAAGGACCCCAGGCCAGTACATGGTCATCATTAAGTCAGGGAAAGGCCAAAATGACAAGAGTATCCCATGAAGTAGAGTCATCTAAGAATTTCTCCAATGTGCTGGCCTTGGCCAGACTGGTGTCTGTGTGTGTGTGCGTGTGTGCGTGTGTGTGTGCGTGCATGCATGTGTGTGTGTGTGTGTGTGTGTGTGAAAGAGAGAGAGAGAGAGAGAGAGAGAGAGAGAGAGAGAGAGAGAGAGAGAGATCTTTCCAAGTTTATGACCCTAGAGCTCAATTTTATCAAGAAAAAAAAACCTTGGCTGAATCCTTAATTATAACTGAAAGTTAATAATCCTAAATTCTAAGCAGAACAGAAGAAAAAAGGAATAGATGAGAAGTGTTATGCTATAGCTTATGTCTAGATATCCACCAACCCCTCAGTGGGTCATAGGGGGTTTTTTGGAGGTGACTGAACTTAGAGAGTGTGATCAACTCATAGTGCAATGCTGAGACTAGAGGTGTTGGGATGAAGGGTGGGTGATTCCTGGGTAGTATGGTTTGTGTCTAGTTGTCCCCCCAAAGCCTCATGCAGTGATGGGGGGGTAGACTTCTAGAGCCTGTGATTAATTCATGACCCAATGCTGGGATTATGGGTGTGAGTGTTACACCTGGCCTCTAGAGCAGACAGCCTGAATGCAATCTAAGGGAGGGAGAGGCTTGATCTCTGCCACCACTCCTCCAATGTGGCTCTTGCTGCTTTGCTATTTTCTGCCACCATGAACTGTTGTCCTCTGCCATGTGCCAGTCCACCTCGGAGCCAGCTGAGTATAGACTGAAACTTCCACAAACTGTGAGTTAAATAAATGTTTCCTTCCTTAACTTGGGGTGTTGGATATTTTATCCCAGCAATGAGTGAAAAGTAACTGAGATACTGCATCAGTCAACTCATTGCATTGACACAGCTCTAATCCTGGTAGATTGGATACAATGTAAAGGAGCCATGTTGCCTCCCCCTTGTTGCTTTTACTGTCTTCTGCCACCATGAGCTGTTGTCCCCTGCCATGTGCCACCCTGCTTTAGAGCAGTCAATTACAGACTAAAATCTCTATAGATTATGAGCTAAATAAGCCTTTTCTCCTTTAATTTTGAGTGTCAGGTATTTTGTATCAACAGCAAGAGAAAAGAGACTAAGACAAAGGAAAGGAGAGAGAACATTACACAGCATGAAGTGTAGGCAACAGTGAAAGAAAGCAGTGAGATCCGCATGGTCGCTGGCTGGAGGATCCAGAAAAAATTAGAGAGTGGGAGGATAGAATTCAAAAATGGTGGTTTTAGCTGCTGGCTCTCAAACATAAAACTTAATTTTTTGGAAGAGGGAGAAGCAGTTCTACTGATAGCCAAAATGGTTTCTGATTAGGCTTTTCACCATTCGTTCAGTGCCTTCACTCAACCCACAGGCATCCCTGCTCATTCTCAATGGCTTTTTACCCAACTTTAAAACACACTCAGCTCTGGTTGCTAAGGCCAATCTTTTGCCTCTCTTCTAAGGCTCCTAGCTAAGGTATAGTTATAGTTTCCTCAATCATAAGTCATCAATATGATTTTCAGTGTTTTTGCTCTGGATATTGAAGCAAAAGCCTAAAGTTGTAAGACAGTTTCATGTGTTTTTGTCAAAGTCATCAAAAGTTTAATGACATATGCTTAATAATATTGATCTAGAAAACAGCAACCTTTGATCTTTATTCCCTGGTGGTCATATAAATATTCTTTAGAGTGAATTATATATGATCAAGGGACTAAGGCTTTGTTAGTGCATAGAATAATTTCATTATCCTAAATTTATATCATGTCAGTCATTTATTGGGCACCTGCTATCAGCCAGTTTGTGTCAGGAAACCTGATATTAAAACTCTACTATCTTGAGTGGTAGATCAACTGTATAGGTAAAGTCCTACAAAAAAAAAAAATAGAAGTGGGTAATGAACAGCTACTCCTGCATTAACATTAACAG